CCACAATGAAAGATAACCGTGTTAACCACAGACCCTCCGCCCAAAATCACTTCTTAGCAGTCAGAACATCCCTCAGAGCATCAACCTCAGCCTCTCGTCGTGCAAGCTTCACGCGGAGGTCATCCCTGTCCGCAGTCATCTCGGCCAACTGACGTTCGAGGTCGGCCATGCGGTCGAGACGACGCTGACGATAGCGCCGGGCAGCCATAGTATTGCGCTGACGCTTGGCGCCGGCGTCCTCCTTGGAGGCTAAGGCATCATCCGAGTGTGCTGAGGAATGAGATGGTGAGGTTTCAGGCCTGTAGGAGTTGGCGTTGGAGGTAGGCAAGTTCATGGTGTAGGACGGAGCCGTGTTAGTGGTGTGAGGAGGTGTAAGGTGACCAGTGGAGTGGGGATGAAGAGATGCATCGGTAAAGAGTTGGCTTGGTCCGTTGGACCCCATTGTCGTTGTCACAGTTGAAGAAAGGTCTAAGGAGCTGTCTCCGAGCAGTTGAGACTGGTTTGGGAGAAGAAGCTGAGTGCCAAGGGCGTCAAGACCGAGAGATGTCCAGTCGAAGTCTTGAGGGGGCTCTGGGCAGTCGGGGTTCCAGATGTTTGGGTCAGAGTCCGTCAAGTAGTCACTGATGAGTGAGTCATCAAGGAGGTCTTGTGGCTGGAGTTGAGGAAAGTGCAATGGTGGTTCTTGGTGGGGTGAATAGTTCTGATATGTTTGCTGGGGGGATTGCTGCAATAATAAATCTCCGCCGCAACTACCAAGTTGAGACAGATTGCTGTGGTCGGTAGAACTCAGTCTTTCCGAGTGAAGCAACTGGGGCTGACGTGGAAGTGGAGGACTCCATGAGTGCAGAGTAGAGGGCCTGTCCGGTAAATTGGACAGGCTATGGTCTTGATTTATAAATTCAGAAGGTTGAAGAAGCACGACTAAGGCGGGGTGGCGGATGAGGAGAAGACCTACTCATCCGGCGAATGGATGGGATATGGAGAAAAGAAGGGAAGGGAAAGTTCGAGGTGGCGAGCCGGATGATTTATAGATGGGTGCCTGGTGGCCTCGGCCGGCCGAGTTGGTCGCACCTGCCGCGGAGTACCAAGTCTATTCTGCTGGACTGCTCCTGCCGCAGCACAGCACAATGTTACAGCATTGAGTGAAGGTGGGACGCAGCGGCACGGAGTGGGCGGGTGTCTGGGCTGATTGGGGGGCTGATGGGGCACCCCGCCATGGCTCAGGACTCGCACGCAGTGGACTTAGTGGCTGTAATTACACCGATGGGGGCATTGGCGGCCGCGCTAATGTATGAGTCACCGGCATGGATGTGCATTGGCCTGCTTCTGTCTCAGCTCCTTTTCGGTCTTTCGCTCTTTCGGCTGCCAACTGCATATCTCACTACTCAATTCGGTCTCTCGGTGCCAACCCCCGTTACACAGCCAGAGCCAAAGATGACGGCTGGAACCTTTGCTAGCCGTGAGATTGGAAGCTTCCACTTCCGATCGCACCCTCCATCTCCTTGATCAATCTGCAGATCCGTGAGACCTAGTGAATGCCAGTTCCTAAAGAGATAGCCATGCACCGAGCAGACTGAATACGATCTGCCGACGGCTTCTCGGCACAACTTTGGTTTCTAACAAGTGCCTAGAAGAGATGTTTGGCTAGGTTCGAACCTTATCAAGAGAATTAATTCTTTTGCCATTAACTAAAAGTACCTAGGGAATTAATCAGAAGGCGGGATCTCAGATTGCCAACACCATGTACCATCACTCTCAAGACCTACCCTAGACCAGGTCTGACGAGGAGAGAGCCCGAACATATTCAACTCTTTATCCCCCATCGTTTTCTTAGAGTGGTTTTCATTCTGTATTGACGTATTTCATATTTACTTGCAGTAGTAGCGCCTTAACCCAGCCCTTCAGTGCTCTCAATTCTGGTTGTTTGAGACGTGAAGTCTACGCCTATTGGTCCTCACCAATTGCAAGATACACTGGGGATCCCACACGCCCCGCGCTCTTGCAAACCATGAGGCCAAATATGAACACATAATATAGGTACCTACCTATTCATGGAGGACTGTACGAGATGTACCAATTTTAGTGTTGCACGAGTGGGAGAAGATGACGTTAATAAATCTTGAAGTCATCTCGTGGATTTTTTGCATCCGTCAGAGGCCACATATTGCCACAACTATAAAAAAACAGTATATGTATATGTTCTAAGTCTAAGGTAGGTATCACGACTAGAGTTTAGAAAGTTGACGCAATAATTATATTTGGTAAGCCGCTCCAACACCGGATATGCAGAACCATCAGCCCATTACCTTCCAGTGAGGCGAATCTCCAACGCCCGCAGGGGGATATAAAAGAGTGCGCTCAGGATGAACGCAAACTCGAATCCGAGATCGCCAGTCGTCTGGGCGATGGGCCCAGTCCACCACACCTGCGCCATGGAGGGGACCACCAGACCAAACGAGAGCACGCCGCTGCTGATGGCGGCGACACCCCATGGTAGCCTGGACGAATCGCTCCAGATGGCGTGGTCGTACGCCTCCTCCCAGGACCGGCCGCTCCTCCTGCGGAAGACGACGTGCTCCACCCCGACGATGCCGAAGAAGGACGCGGACCAGTACCCGATGAGGGCGACAAAGTTCTCGAGGCTAACGAAGAAGTTGTCCGAGACGGCGCGGACGGCGACGGGGATGACGACGGCGGTCACGATCAGGGCGAAGATATAGCGGGGCACCTTGATCAGCCAGGGGAAGAGGGCCTGGAAGTTGAGCGTGATGGCGTACATGGTCCCCGCCGTGTTGCCCAGGAGCGTGAGGGAGAGGAGGGCGACGACGAACTTGCCAAAGTTGCCGGCCGAGGCGAGCATGGCGGCGAGGATGCCGCCGACGAGGGTCTCCTCGTAGCCCTTTTCCCAGGCGGGGACGTTGGGGAGGGCGCCGGCGATGGCGGCGCCGAAGGTCATGAGGAGGATGGTGGGGAGAGCGAGACCGGTATAGCTGTAGGTGAAGACGCGCCACCTGGATTGGGTAAACCTCATGTTAGTCATTTCCATCGACCAAGTTGATATTGAAAGGCAGGAGACGGAAAGAGCACTTACGAAGAGACATTGGGGTCAAAGTATGTGGTCAAGTCACTGGCGATTGCAGCCCAAGGGAGCATGTAACTTGCAACAATCATGCCGTAGCTGATGACAGCGGCCGCGGTGGCTGGCTCCTCAGGCTCGGCCTGCTTCATTAGGTCCTTCCCACCGCACCCGGCTGCAATGGCGAGGGCGATAACAGCTGGGATAAAGGCATATGTCTCATAGTAGTGCAGGACTCGGAAGCCACAGAACGAGATGAGAAGTCCCAGCAAGGCAATGATTACAATGCCCGCGTTCGGGGTCAGGCTACCCTCCGAGATGGCAGACAGGCATTGACCGCCAACGACGCAAATGATGATGATAAACCCAGTCAAGGTGGCGAGGTTGAGAATAACTGGTACGGAGACAAGGTACCGGCCGAAGCTGTATCTGGCCTGGATCATCTGCCTCATTCCTGTCTTGGGGCCCAGTGTTGCCAGATAGGCTGGAGCAACGGTGGAAAGAAGAGTGAAGAAGAGGATGACGAGTGACGAATCTCGTAGACTGAGGCCGTAGACCATTGGTCCCAGGAGACCAAACAAGACGCTATGAAACAGTTAGAACCTTCCCTTGATAACGCTTATGGTGGGCCTATCCTCGCTCATCGGCCTCAGCACACTCACCCTAGGATGTTCGTATTGATGGAAGTCCAGATAGTGAAGATATTCCAGTATCGGGTTGAGAGGCGGGCTTCCAACGGCACGGGCTGAATACCTTTCGCCTCAACCCGGCCCATGCGCAGGACCCGATCCAGGACCTGCACTACTTTGGACGAGGAAGAGCTGCTGGGCCCCATGTATTTGTATTCTTCATCGCCATAAGAACCCTGGTTGGTGGTTTGTAAATGGGACGCGCCGCCTGCGCGATGCTCCAAGTCGGCTACCATGTTTTGTCTGTGGCCAATGCTGGCTTGAGATATTTTTGATGTAATTTTTTGAGGGCGCGGAACAAAAAGTGTCACACCAGAGAGAAAAGTCAGCCAACTCAGCTGAGATGGACTGAGACAAGGCTGGGATGAAGTATCAGGGCTAATGCAACGCAAAAATTTCTCAAAAAACGATATGTGAGCTAGTGACTGATTCGAGACTCAGAGCCTCAGATCCGATCTGGTTTAAGGCTGATCACCACTAGGCAACGGGCTCGGTAAAAGGGACGAAAGCTTATCGGCGAAAACCCTTACAAGCCACTAATGAACCAAAGTTGACGACGATGATGGGCAGGCCAGTAATTTAAGAGTCAGGTCTTGACTCGTTCGTTCGTCCCGGCACCATATGTCTACAAGCCAAGGCCGTCCCCGGTTGCGGGGACCAATGACTGTGCTCTATTATCTACAAACAGTCACTCACTCGGAGTACGGCCTCCATAGCAGAATTTTTCTCACTTGAAATCCCTACTTGGCTGGATGGGGCAGTCTAGACTCCAGACTCGGAGGAGGCGCGGAACCCCATTGGCTGCTTGTGCCGTTCGCTCCGCACCGGCATGCAAGCCGGATATCGCGGCGGAGTCTTTGTTGAGGCATTCCGGAGCCATTTCCCCTCATGCTTCTGGAACTATTCCTCGTGGTTTGCGCTGTTGATCGCCTAGAGCATGGTGGCTTGCAGAGAGATACGCCGAACTGCCTTCCTTCCTTCTCACGGTTCCGGTGCTACTGTCACCTCCGGTCCGTGATAGTGTGTGTAGCAAGCCGTTCCCTGCATGCTCATGTGCCTTCATGCAGGTCTCTTGCCATTGAGGCAGGTCGAAAACAGCGCATTACCACATCTGGCCATCTAGAACCCTCACTAATGCTGTCCATAGGGCGCAATAGACATGGCCCCCGACCAAATCGTATCATTACCGGACGGGTGTTGGGGGGAGCTAGCATGTTATACACAGATCGAGAATATCAGCTCTTCCCAGTCTGCTTTCTGCCCCTAAAGAAACCACCTAGGGCCCCCATCAAGCCCGCCATTCCCTTCTCTTCCCCTCCGCTTGCTTGCATACCATTCTGGATCCACCCCGGCAGCTTCCCTCGAATCCTCTCCGTTCCGAACCTCCGATCCACCAGGATAATGGCTGCGTAGTCGCCCCGGTGCCGAATTGCTCGCCCGATGCTCTGATTCACGGCGCGCATGCATGCGTTCTCGTAAAAGTCCCGACTCGCCTGCTTCGCTTGCGCTCTTGCTTCCTCCTGGCCGATAGCCTTTCGCTGGCCTGCTGATTGTCCATGGCTATCATCCTCCCCATTTGAATTAGTCAACCGATTGAAGACTGTTGTTTCGATGTATTCAAGTTTAGCCTTCCACTCTGGCGAGGCGATGTTGGGGTAAGGGAGCCCGACCACCATGACACAGCGTCCCAGCCTGTCCGAAAAGTTGATGCCTTCAGACATCTTTCCTCCCACAACGCTTAGTAGCAGCGCTCCTTTCCCGTTGCTCTGCTCGCCCTGGATGGCCTGTGTATAGTCATTCAAGACCTGGTCGCTCGAGCCACCTTTTGTCTCACGAAAGACGGCTTTTCGCCCCTGGAGGCGGGCCCATATCGACTGCGAGTTCGCACTTTGGGTTTGCTCCCAGGCGGCAACGACTTCATCAAGGTACCCATAACTGGGAAAGAAGACGACCACACCATCAGGGACGATAGAGCACGCATTTAAAACAGCCATGCCTAATTGCGTGATCATTTCTGGATCTCTGCGCCGCTGATAACTGAACTCAAACTGAGGAGCCCCAGGTCGTACTGTGCCCAGCGTCCACACGCAAAGATTCTCCTTCGGAATAACGTGCCCGCAGCTCAGTGTCGTGACCTTTGAGGTAGGAAGAGTTGGAAATAAATGGTCCTTATAGTCTTCAAAGGGAGACATGGTACCTCCTGCGAGAATCACCGCTCTTGCCGAAGAGGCAACGGATGAAAAGGCGTGAGTTGGCGATAGAAGAAGGTAGGAAAGCTGGATATCTGGTGATGGCCCGGCCATCTTCTGGTAGAATATCCGGCCCTCAGAGCTGAGATTGGTCAAAGCAACAAGAAACGAGGCCAGTGTGTGCAATACTGGAGTACCGCCAACCTTTGTCACAGCTCCTGGCTCATTCTCGCTTTCCACGTGGGCGACGTAGCTTTCGATCTTGAATGCGAGCTTCGAATCTGATATGTATCGTATAAGCTCGAACATATTGATTTGGTCAATTCCCTTTCGTCTGAGGAGATCGTTAGACTCGACAATCCCATCCTCGTTCTACAATCGCAGTCAGTAAAACGTCACAGAAACTGCATGCTCGAAATCGGGCAACTCGCCTTGAAGCTCAATGCCGCCTGCATCCACTCCGAAAGGCCCTCAATTATTCTGCCCACCCGCCCGACGTTGACTCGGTTTTCACCTTTGAGCTTCTTTCCAAATTTTCTTACATAGACACCGAGCATTCCTTTGGCTCTTTTCAGGTCGCTCAGCCGGATCTCTGCCGCGTGTACACCAGCGATAGCGTCCATTATGTTGTGAGCTTCATCAACAATGACTACACTCCCTTCAAGCTTAATGCCAAGGGCGTCTCTGGCGCTCTGCTGCAACAGCAGGGGGTACGGGAGCGTGACGATTTCCGCACCGGGAAGCGCCGTTCGTGATGCATAGTAAGGGCAAACTGAGAGCGATTTGCCCAGCTGGTGTAAGTCTTCAATGTCGGGCAGAGAGGCAAGGGCAGCATCTCGAAACTCATGAGTCTGTGCCAAGAGCTCTTCCTTCGGAACGAACGGGCACCTTGTACTGGATTTAGCTTGCTGTAGATCTGCGCAGCGATCATTGATCGCCTGTACCGACCCCAATCGGGAGACTGATGGGTTGATGCATAGCTTTTGGCGGGACGAGAGCGGTAGCAGTTTGACGGCTTCTTTGCTCGGCTGGTCCTGTGTCTGGAGCATGGCCCCTGGGAGTGACGAGGGAAAGTGCGGTCGGCGAAGTTCGGTAATGAACTGGGACAGCTGGGAATGCGTTCTTGAAGTGTAATAGATCTATTCTCAATTGTCTCAATATTTGCTACGAGATGCGAGCAGGAATATCTCCGCACCTTGACTCCTTCTTCAAAGAGGTCGGTTTCTTCGTTCCCATTGTTCTTTTTGGGAATACCGAGACCGAACCTAGCAAGAACTTCACGCGCCTCCTTGCTCAGTCCAGACTGGGCATCACCGGACCCGTGTGACGCCGCATCATCACCTTGGACATCAAGCAGGAACTCATCATCCTCATCAATGGTCCGTTTCTGTGATCTTACCTCATCAACTCGCCGCCGCTTCCGGGCTCGGTCTTCTTGGGCCTTTTCCTTACGCCTAGCAGCCTCGAGGCGTTCTTCACGCTCTTGCCATTTCTTTGCAAGCTCGTCTCGTTTCTGACGCAGAAGCTGTTCCACAATCCACTCTGGTTCATCCTTGTGGGCCTCAACCGCGCTTTTCAGCTCAACTTCATGGCTGTGTGACTTGTGATGTCGTAGCCATGTCAGAGACGCGCAGATCAAGGACAATGATTTCCCCTAGAAGCCAAAGATTCCACCATGAGCGACGCCTGGACTTGTAGATATCAGCGCCATCCACTCACCGTTCCCGTGGGGCTTTCAAGAATGCCGATTTGGCCATCTCCCGTTTCAAGGACGTTGTACACTGCTTTCATGAACTGCTCTTGGACATCGTAAGGGGTAAATGGATGATTGAAGTCCAGCTTCTCCATCCGCTGAGAGACATCTTGAATATCCTCACTGGTGTCCATGGTTAAAGTTGGAAATCCCCACCCATCCCAACGGATTGCATAAGAATTCAATCCAAGGAGTTCTTGAGGTTATATCAAAAGCTTTGTTTGATTTCATCCGTTCATGATTGGCTGGCCAGCACGCATTGGTCCTCACGCGTTAGATAAGCGATAAGCAATTGTTGGAGATTCTTCGAGTGGAGCGTTGAGAGGTCTGTAGGGCGAGGTACGTACCGCCTCGGGTCAGCTGACCCAGAAGCACAAAGCACAATGGTCTCCACTCAACCACACAGCCAAATCAATTACTTGGATTTTGCTTAGGGCAGGGTAACCCTCTCGCTAACAATTTCCCGGACTTGATCCATACTAGGGCAGCGCAAAAAACATCACCACCCACTTCCAGTCCCTTTGACGAAGCATCACACCGGAAAGCGACAACACCCAACCAGCCGTCGCCATGCCTACTCGAACCTCCAAGACCCGCAAGCAGTACGTTTTGTCCCTGAGAATGCTCTGAAGACAGAATTCGGCACGATTGAATGTTCCAGGCTGGTTCGCCAGCCGGGCAGCTTTCGTGCAAAGGATGTCGTTTTTGGATCCAATTGGCTGGAGAATTTTGTTGGCTGACAAGGAGGTTTTTCACAGCCGCGGTCACGTCTCCGCCGGAAAGGGACGTGTTGGCAAGCACAGGAAGCATCCCGGTGGTCGTGGTCTGGCCGGTGGTCAGCACCACCACCGTACCAACATGGACAAGGTTCGAAATACACCAGCCCCACGACGAGACGCAATTCGAGACAATGCGAAGCGAGAAAGTCGGAATATGAGTGAACTCTTGAGGGCTAACTTGGCTTTGAAAATAGTACCATCCCGGTTACTTCGGTAAGGTTGGTATGCGATACTTCCACAAGCAGCCCAACCACTTCTGGAAGCCCGTCGTCAACTTGGAGAAGGTACATATTTCCTCCCCTTGATCGATGAGCCCGACCGCCGGACCTAGCAAGCACCAGCTGCCAAACTCGGGTTCGGCTCAAGGCGAATCGATCTGGCTTGCCCAATGGGATTTTCCACTGACACGACACTAGCTCTGGTCTCTCGTCCCCGCCGAGACCCGCGAGGCTTACGTCTCCGGCTCCAAGAAGGACACCGCCCCCGTCCTCGACCTCCTCTCCCTCGGCTACTCCAAGGTCCTCGGCAAGGGCCGTCTCCCCGAAATCCCCCTGGTTGTCCGCGCACGATGGGTGAGCAAGCTGGCAGAGAAGAAGATCCAGCAGGCCGGTGGTGTCGTTGAGCTGGTTGCTTAGACGAAAAAGCATGATATGGATATACCGCTTGTGAAGGAGTTCGGTTGTGTATGTGGGATGCGACTTTTATCGTCCATGACCTTATTGAGGAATAAAAAAAAATTAACAACACAACAAGTTCACAATCTGGTTATGGCTCGCCCGCCCCTCTTCCACTGACACACAGTTGGTGATGAAATGATAAAGGGGATAAAAAAAGGGCACTTGGGATGGTCGGCTTCGAGCATTGCATCAGGGACTCTCAATGGAGTTTTACGAATAAAAATCATTTTCGGTCCATGATCTAGTTGTTTATCGCTTGCTTAAATGCCCACGTCCAGTGACATGTTTGATTCTCGCGTTTCGTCAAGTCTTGGAACTTGATCTTGCAAAAAATGCATATGCTATCTGACCAAACCCACCATGATGAACGCCAGCTGTATGATGCACCAATGCGCTTACGCCTGTATTATATACAAAGAGATTCGGCCAGCAGAATCTGAGAACTCCATCGTGGCCGCACAGGATCTTGTCCGTCTATCTATACATCGAGCATGTCCATAATATCATCATCTCCAACCCCCAAGTCCTGAGAGCTATCTATCCTCAGGAACTCGTGTTCCAAAGCCTCCTCAGCTGTAATTCTTCGTGAGGGATCCAAGTCCATGCACCGTTCCATGAATTTGACTGCAAGTTTCTCATCCGCAGTAAGGGGTTTGTCCTCACCCCGACAAGTACTCCATAGAATAATCTTCTCAAGGGTGAAGCCCTGTTGCCCGACAGTGGGGATGGTCGTATCAAAAACACATCCGTGAAGGAGACCCGCAACCTTCATACGTCTCGCGCCATAGATGGTAGCAATCTCAATCATTGCCTCCACGTCGTCCGCAGAATTGAAGAACGGGAATCGCTTGGAGAGAATGGTGAGCAAGATGACACCGGCAGACCAAATGTCAATCGCCGTCGTCTGCTCCGTGCACTTGAACAGCACCTCGGGGGCTCGGAAACCTCGGGTGCCAGCACGGTTGGCGCGTTTCGAGGGTCTCGTATCGTTCTTGGGGTACCCAGATGGAGTGTAGGTGGAGGACACACTCTGGGCCCAGACGGAATTCGCCTGCCTTGTCTTACGAAGCTCGCGTTGCTCGTGACACAGACACGGCTTGCTTTCGGAGCCCTCCCGCTCAGCGAGACCAAAATCAACAAGGACACCATGCTGCGTAGCCGGGTCATAGAGAAAGTTGGTCGGCTTGATGTCGCGATGAAGAATTCTATGCTCATGCGTACTTCGTAGAGCGGTAAATAATGACCGTAAATAGATTCTAATATCAGGGATGGTCATATCCCGGAAGTAGGTACGGAAGTCCCCGTGACGAAAGTACGGAAGGATGGCGATAACCTGGTCAGTCTGACGGAAGGCCGTGATGAGCGGGCAGACTGAGGGGCATCTCCGGAGATCATGCAGCAGCTCTAGTTCGTTGAGGATTCGCATGGGTGATGAGGTGACATAAATCTTCTTGATGGCGACGTAACGCGTTCGTTTCCGCGGAGAGTGCTGGCTGGGCGAGTCCCTTTCCAGAGGGGGGGGAGTCCACTTGGACATCTCGTTTTGTACATCCCACTCGTTGACATACTGGTCATAAAGTTTATCCTCAGCCTTGTAAACGGTGGAAAACGTTCCTAAGCGCGGCGGTTAGAGTACGTACTCCCCAGGTACAACCCAATCTCGAGATGCAGCATGTGTACATACCTTCTCCTATACGCTTGATTAGACGGTAGCGATACCAGAAGCCTGGAAAGTCACTCTCGAGCTTCTTCATGTCTGATTGAACACTTCGGTCGACTTGCTCGTCGTCAGAGCTGTCGTACTCTTCGTCTCCTTCGCCTTCGCCGTCTTCCTCGTCGTCATCGTCAATAACGACAACATCCGTGTCTGCGACATCTGCACCGCCATCTTCTTTGTCGTCCTCGATCATTTCAGTCTCTTCTGTCCTGACATCTTCGTGGATATCAAAGGGCTCGTCTCTCCGTCTAGCCACAGCGGTAGCCATATTGACCCCTCCGAGCGGCCAAGGGTATAGCTTGCCAGAGTTCAAATCTAAAGGTGGGTAGCGTACCGCCAACCAATGCCTTCTTGCTTATGGGATCTTGTTGTTCGTTGGCGAGAGTCCTATCCAATGTTGAATGCGACGAACCGAAGGTCGAGTCCGATGTCAGCCAATCAACACGTCGGTGGAGGTGGCTTTGTGTGGCGGGACGAGAAGGATCTTGCGGGATGACCTAATTGGAGGGCAGAGATCTCGAACCGCCAATCGACCTGGGTTAACAGCCAGTATTCATGCAGATTTCAGGACGTGGAATGAATTCATCCATGCAAGTCAGCTCTTAATATCAAAGAGCCCTAAAATGACTAACGGTGCAATGACAAATTACTATTGGTTTGGCTTAGTGGTGGTCGGGGCTAAGAGACGCGGTTTTTGGTGCAGTTTCGGGCGTGTTTGGCTGTTGTAGGTACAATGGCGGGGAAGTGGCACGCGTAAACAAAACAAAAACAGACGTTGCTGAGGGACGTTCATTTGGGCACCGCACCGCACTTTAGCTGCAGGCCGCCTCCCACCATCACCATCACCGTCATTTTGCAGCTGCAACATCCTTTCACGTGCGTCGCACATGAATCACCATCAATAATTGCGATAATCACCGTGGCTCCTTCGCCCGCCTCCCTTCTGTCCTTTCACAGCGACATCGACGCTCTGCTGCTGCCAACCGCGACACCGCCTCCGCCGTGCGGGCGCATTTCAGCCCACCATGGCGACAATCAATTTCGATATCAACGATGCGCTCAGGGACTACATGTCCGATCCCGCTTCCATACCGACTTCGGAAGCCGATAGCTCCCTTCTTGACTGCGAGAATGAGCCTGAGTCCCTCACAAACCAACTCATCAACCCTGTGTTGAACCCAATCGTGGACGCAGTGGCCGAAGATCCGGATGCGATTACGCGCGCATCCAACATGGACTCGCTACAGTTTTTGCTCAAGTAAGATATTTGAATACCCCTAGGAAGGGCTCCTTGTCCCTCTTCAATCGAAGACGAGGAGTGTTGTATCGTTTGGTCGTCTAACTGAAGCCCTTCAGGTTTGCTGCTTTTCTTCCCACACACGCCCTCAGCAAGGTGTTCGACCTGATCATGAGCGGCCTGAGTGCCGAAGTCGATGCGGCCAACAGCGATATGGAATCCCCCGACGATGAAGGCACTCTACCGCATCACAAAAAGCTGCTTGAAATATTCGGCTTTCTTCTCCAGTGGACTATCGCGGCTGTAGAGACCAAAGCTGCCGAGAAGTCTTCCACAGCGCCTGCAGCCAGAGGAAGAGGCAAGGCCAAGAAAGGAACGACTAAAGATGATACATGGGACTCTACGGCACAACTGCAGTCCGCACTGGACATCATGTGCAAAGTGCTGAAACTCAAGCTGACCTCGATCTTCTTGACGACTAGCGAGAGAGATACATTTGTTGGCCTCCTCACGCGGCCAGTCTATATGATTCTAGAGAGCGAGCAGCGTGCCAAATCAGTTCCTATCAGGATGCACTGCTTTAAGGTGCTCTGCATTGCTGTCAAGCATCACGGACACGGATATGGTCAGTGCACATAACGTCAATATAGCTAGTCTCGAGACTAACACTCAACAGCGGCGCAGATTAATGTTATCCAGAATCTGACATACTTCGAGCATTTGT